CGGCGGCGGCAGCAGCAGCACCAGCAGGAGGGCGCCGCTTAGCCGTTTAAAGCGCCCCAGCCGCAGCTTCCTGCTTGGGGGGGGGGGTCGGAGAAGGGAGCGAGAGAAACGGGCTCCGCCGAGTCACGACCGAAGACGCTGCTCGTCCCCCCCAGGCCCTCCGCGTCGCCGGAGCCATGGAAGGGAAGCCTCTCCAGCAGCGCCCTCGCACGCCGCCCCCGCCGCCCCGCGCCGGCTCTCCGAGGCTCCAACCGGCAGGAGGAGGAGCCGGAGCCGCCGAAGAAGTGCCTTGTTCGCCGGCCAGGGACGGGGATGCTCCCGACGGCGCGGGGCTGACCCCTGCAGCGGCCGGGGATGGGCTGGGTCGGCCGCTGGGTCCCACTCCGAGTCAGAGCCGCTTCCAGGTGGACCTGGTGGCGGAAAACGCGGGCCGAGCGGCCGCCAGCGAAGAGGAGGCGGCGGCCAGGACGACGGAAGCGCCGCCGAAAGCCCCCGGCGAGGGCTCCGGCAAAGGCAGCGAGGAAGCCAAAGGCCGGTTCCGGGTGAACTTCGTGGACCCGTCTGCTGGGGACGACAGCTCGGGCGAGGTCGGCGGGGGCTCGGAGGGCTGCAATGTCAGCTTCCAGAACGGCGGCGACACGGTGCTCAGCGAGGGGAGCCTCCATTCCGGCTCCGGAGGCCACCATCACTACTACTACGACACCCACACCAACACCTACTACATGCGCACCTTCGGCCACAACACCATTGATGCGGTGCCGAGGATAGACTATTACCGGCACACGGCGGCCGGGCTCGGGGAGAAGCTCATCCGGCCCAGCCTCGCCGAACTCCACGACGAGCTGGACAAGGTGAGTTCAGGGGGTGAGGTGGCTTGGCAGGCACCTTCATCAGGGTACATACTTAGAGTTTGTGGCCTCCTAAGGCAGGGCATCTACCGGGGCAGGAGAGGCAGCAAGAGGGACTTGGCACCAGGGTCCGCTACATCAGCTTGGGTGGCTTCAGGAACTGGACGCGGTTGGCTGCAGAAGTAGTATTATTATTTTGTTATTTGTTTTATTTATACCCCATCTTTTTCTCCATAAGGGTACCCAATTAGAAACATATAAGAGGAAAGAATGAATGGTATGTTGTAATCTAAGCACTAGTGTACTTTCCAATCGGTAATGTATGCCTAAAGGTTATCTGGTGGGCAGGTGTCAGTTCAATCTTTTTTGATTGAATGTCTTGTTTTGTATTAACTATATTGTAATCCACAATATGTCTGCGTGGAACATATGTTTCTGTGTTTATTTATTTATTTTTTAAAATTACATTTGCAAACCCCACTGGAGTATGTGTAGCTAAAAGAGAAAACTACTTGCTGTTAAATCTTGTAAAAGTGGTAACTGCAAGAAAGATAGCTGTTTATATCTTCAAATGTCTCTCCTTTCTTTTCATTCCATTTTCAGTTAGAAACTTCTCACGATGGGTCAGCTGACTGTAGAGGGGAACCCAGGACATGCCTGTGTTTCCTACTACTACCAGATGTGGGGAACAATAAAAGGTCACCTTGAGATAGACCAAAGAAAATGAGTTTATCTCTGCTTTATAACAAGCATTCATGCTTCTCCTGACACCCTCCCCTCACCCTTTGTATGCATACTGAGATTACAAACCTTTTCTTCACCACTTGGAAGAATTCAGTTTCCCCCTTTCATTGCTTTTTCTCCTCTCTAGGAATTACTGCATTCTGTATAAACTTATGTCACTGTGTTTTTCTCTCTCATCTAGATAACAGATTTCTTGGGACCTGCTCAAATTTTTAAAATGCTTATATAAATTGTCACTAGAAAAATGTGCAGATTCATTTATTTTTGAGACACCAGAGGTTTCTTTTTTAATGCCATGGAGTACTATAACAGTAAAAGTGCTATTCACTGAAGTATAGGGGATTATGAATAGCTTTGAAACTTCATCCTTCTTATGCTTAGGAATTTTAGCACATTTTAAAAAAGTCAGTCTCACTACTTTATTACCACTTGTTAGAAGGCTGATGACTGCCTATATTAGACAATTCACAGCATCTTTTATTAGGCTGTAGTGGCCTAGATGAGTTATAAAAAGGCTTTCCTACTGACTGACCCGTGGTGTTGTTTAGTCGTTAAGTCGTGTCCGACTCTTTGTGACCCCATGCACCAGAGCACGCCAGGCCCTCCTGTCTTCCACTGCCTCCTGGAGTTGGGTCAAATTCATGTTGGTGGCTTCGATGACACTGTCCAACCATGTCATGTTCTGTCGTCCCCTTCCCCTCCTGCCCTCACACTTTCCCAACATCAGGGTCTTTTCCAGGGAGTCTTCTCTTCTTGTGAGATGGCCAAACTATTGGAGCCTCAGCTTCAGGATCTGTCCTTCCAGTGAGCACTCATGGTTGATTTCCTTCAAAATGGATAGGTTTCTTTTCCTTGCAGTCTAGGGGATTCTCAAGAGTCTCCTGCACAATTCAAAAGCATCAGGTGGTCAGCCTTCTTTATGGTCCAGCTCTCACTTCCATACATCACTACTGGAAAAACCATAGCTTTGACTATGCAGACCTTTGTCGACAACGTGATGTCTCTGCTTTTTAAGATGCTGTCTTAGGTTTGTCATTGCTTTCCTCCCAAGAAGCAGGCTTCTTTTAATTTCGGAGCAGCTGTCACCATCTGCAGTGATCATGGACCCCAAGAAAGTAAAATCTGTCACTACCTCCATATCTTCCCCTTCTATTTGCCAGGAGGTGATGGGATCAGTGGCCATGATCTTAGTTTTTTTGATGTTGAGTTTCACACCATTTTTGATACTCTCATCTTTCACCCTCATTAAGAGGTTCTTTAATTCGTACTCACTTTCTGCCATCAGAGTGGTATCATCTGCATATCGGAGGTTGTTGATATTTCTTTCAGCAATCTTAATTCCGGCTTGGGGTTCCTCCAGTCCTCCCTTTTGCATGATGTATTCTGCATATAAGTTAAATGAGCAGGGAGAATACAGCCTTGTCGTGCTCCTTTCCCAATTTTAAACCAATCAGTTGTTCCATGTACAGTTCTAGCTGTTGCTTCCTGTCCCACATATAGATTTCTCATGAGATAGATAAGGTGGCCAGGCAATCCCATTTCTTTAAGGACTTGTCATAGTTTGTTGTGGTCGACGCAGTCAAAGGCTTTTATGTAGTCAGTGAAGCAGAAGTAGATGTGTTTCTGAAACTCTGGCTTTCTCCAGCAAATGTTAGCAATTTGTTCTCTAGTTCCTCTGCCTCTTCGAAATCCAGCTTGTATTTCTGTGAGTTCTTGGTCCACATACTGCTGAAGCCTACCTTGGAGGATTTTGAGCATAACCTTACTAGCATGTGAAATGAGTGCAATTGTATGATGGAGCAATCTTTGGCACTGCCCTTCTTTGGGATTGGGATGTAGACTGACCTTTTCCAATCCTCTGGACACTGTTGAGTTTTCCAAACTTGCTGGCATATTGAATGTAGCACCTTAACAGCGTCATATTTTAAGATTTTAAATAGTTCAACTGGAATGCCATCACCTCCACTGGCCTTGTTGTTAGACAAGCTTTCTAAGGCTGACTTGATTTCACTCTCCAGGATGTCTGGCTCTAGGTCAGCAACCACATTATCTGGGTTGTCTAGGCTATCCAAATCTTTCTGGTATAATTCCTCTGTGTATTCTTGCCACCTGTTCTTGATGTCTTCTGCTTCTGCGAGGCCTTTCCCATTTTTGTCCTTTATCATGTCCATTTTTGCACAAAATGTTCCTTTAATATCTCCAATTTTCTTGAACAGATCTCTGGTTTTTCCCTTTCTATTATTTCTATTATTTTCCTCTATTTCTTTGCACAGGGCCCTCTTGTCTCTCCTTACTATTCTGACCCATATGGATGGTTAAATAAATGTCCAGTTATCTTAAATTCTTGGCTTTAAGATGCAGATCGGAATTAACTACTGTACGTTCTTTTATTATACTGTGATAAAGGGAACCAGACTTGAATGTTTAAATTGCAGTTTCTCAGTCACATTTGACTCTGAAGCAGCTTTAATTCTTGATTTGGAAACTCAGCAGCACTTTTTGATTAAGTTGATACTAAAGTTCCGCTTTGTTTTGAGGTTTTTCAGGTCTACTTTAGAAAAACTGTGTTTACTGTGGCATGGTAGAAGTAGTTGCCTTTTTGGAAGAAGCAACTGTTTATAAATGAATTCAGATATTTTAATCTAGTCATTTACTAAGTCCCAGTTACATATAGTAGATAATGGCTAGAATCTGGTTGATAGGGGCAATAGCATAGGACCATTGAATCTATCAAATTTATGATTCAGTGGGCCTAGTCTAGTTCTGGCTTACTACTACAGCCAATATGTGGACTGTTTAAATTAAAATACAATTTGTCATTAATTTACACTAGTGTCAATAGTAGTAGGCATCCTTCAGTCTCAAGACTGAAGGATGGTAACATGCCCTGTATGGAGGTCTTGGAACAGCGTCTAGTGTGGCTGAGAAGGCCAGTTTGAGAATGACAATCCCTTCCACACTGAAGACAAATCCAATCTGTCCCATGTCCAGCTCCCTGGTTTTGCTGCTTTTGTGATTGCCTCTTTGTCTCTAGACAAGGGTCTCTTCAAATTAGGAGAGGCCATGATGCACCACCTGCCTCCAGGCTGAACACTCAGACATCAAAGTTTCTCATCTGTTGTGGTCCATTCCTAAGGCCTTCAGATCCTGCTTGCAGATATCCTTGTATCGCGATACAAGTGTCAATATTGGGAGCAAATTACTGCTCAGTAGCATGGTCCTAGATGCCTTATGAGGTATGGGCATTCATACACAACCAGTACCTCATTAATCAGGGGCATTATTCTTCGTCTTAGAAATTTTTATCTAGCTGTATGTATGAGGTGCTTAAAATGGGTTTCGTGTTCCTTAAAGAGACTATATGCTCAGTTGTTATTTATAAAAAAAATCCAATATTATGGTCAAAACTCCACAAAGAGAATTAGTGTTTCTGATTTCAGTAATGAATTAAGATAGGCACATCATATCGTTAGATATGCTGCTAGAAACATGGATGGAATGACTATAAAATCAAGGTAACTTGATGAGTTTACATATTAATGGTCAGAATCCTGTTACTCAGTGCAATAAATTGCATTAGATTTAGTCCCACTGAATTAATGGTGATTTTGTGGGTTCCATTGATTCAAAGGGTCCTACTCTAACTTTGACTTGCTTTAGCATATTAAGTAGCTAACAAATTGAAATTATGGAGGCGTTCACACTAAATCTACTGACTCAATGGGCCTGCTCTAGTGCAATATATTACCAATAGTATTTTGGTCATTGTATTGGAAGCAAGCTAACTATATATCTGAAATTATGGAGGCATTCACACTAAATCTACTGACTGAATGGGCCTGCTCTAGTGCAATTTATTACCAATAGTATTTTGGCCATTGTATTGGAAGCAAGCTAACTATATATGCGCTTTGATTCACCACCTGTTGCTAGTTCTAAATACCATTTGTAATTGAAAGAGAAAGATAGTGTGTCAAGCTTGTCCAATTAAAATAAATGAAGTATTTGCAGCGGCTTGGAAATTACTGTAACTGACATGCTGTGCTAGAGTAAGTCACAGTTAGAGTAGGCAAATAAAGAGAAATCAAGAGAACATACGTATGGAGTTGTTCTCCTGTCTTCCGCTGCCTCCCGGAGTTGAGTCAAATTCATGTTGGTAGCTTCAATGACACTGTCCAACCATCTCATCCTCTGTCGTCCCCTTCTCCTCCTGCCTTCACACTTTCCTAACATCAGTGTCTTTTCCAGGGAGTCTTCTC